CATTACAGACTTCTTGTGAAACATGTGGCAACTTGCCAATGAGTAAATAGCTGTGCCAAACTGGAGCACAGCCTGGCCTTACCTCTCCTGTGAGTGTGAAACACGTTTCACTTAAGTCTGCTGGACAGGGACCCCGATGGGGATTTGGTTTATTGTCAGAGTGATGCTGTCTGCAAATCATTTTTCTGCTGAACGAAAGCCAGATGCAAGTTTAGGCCAAAAGATCATGCCGTGACTGTGATACTGGAACTCAAAGGGACAAAGAGTGTAAATAAGTGTCCCACCTGATCTCCCAGGTGGTACAGCAAGGCCAGCTCTTGTGTTGCTAAGAAGGGATGCTGGAATGCTGCAGCTGGCTGCCACTATAGACCACAGCCAGGCTGTAGCATCTTGGTATGCCCTATTGTAATCCTCACCAGAGCCTGCTGGCACTGCAGAACTTAAAGCTAGGGGATTTAAAATCCCAAATTGCCATCCATCAGAGCTCATGTAAGGGTGCCAAGAAACCTGGGTAACCTCCAATCAGGCATTAAGCTTCCTATTTGGAAGGTCTGCTGAGCCATGAGAACTAGGTTGATACAGATCCCAGCTCTGCTGACAAAGCAATTCCTGTCACAAAATCTCTTGCTTTCACAGAGACAAATTTCTCGTGGCCATCACACTGTCAGACACTGAAACAGATTTAAAGCCTTCATATCGTCTCCCATCTGCTTCTACAGAAGTGGAGTAAGGTGAAGTACTTGAGCAAAGCAGTTGACTATTTGTGTGAAGGAATATGTATAGCCAAAGTGTTCTTCTCTGCCTGGATGGATGCATCTCTCTGTGTAGGAATAGCTTCTATCAGCCTATAAGATAGCTTCAGGAAAGGCTTTTCAAATTATTTATTTATTTGTTTGTTTATTTAAAGTTAAAATATTCTATGGGCTAAATATAAGCATGTATCATCATGGCTCTGGCTGATCCACTGGAGAGATTAGATAGTAGGGCAGTGTTCTTATTCTTTGTGCTCTTTTCCAATTCCTGCGTCGCACCGTTGTTTCGCTGCTATTAGCATTGCTTTATGTTAGTCACCAGTGAGTACTATTGAGGCCAAGTCCTAATGCTCTAGATTTTGAAGGAATCATCTCTGGTTAATTCCAGCAGAATCCCTGTGAGATATAATGACTCTGCCTTTCTGTTTATGAATAAAGTTGCTGTGAATGCACTGAGCTTTTCAAGAGCCAAATGAGTCTCCAGATTTCTTGGTTTCTATGGCAGGAAGCACTCTAGAGCAGGGAGAGGACTAGCTCAGGTGCCATCTTCTTGGCATCCTGTTGAAATGGAAGAGATATGACAGCTTTTGTTTTGTTGAAGAACTATGGGAAGTGAAAGGGCAGTGTAGCAGCCCCACTTTCCTTGTGCACGAGTCTAGAAGAGCGAGTAACAATCCTGGTCTGCTCAAAATCTCAATTTTTTTTTAGGGTCATCTAACAGCAGAGGGAGGAATGCATTGTCCATCTTGGCCATGGTCTCCTGTCTTGGAATTTATTTTTCTTCCAGATTTTTGCTTGCACTCATGATTGCATCTTCAGACATGTATCTCCCTGCAAGCTGTGTATTTACATCTGCAGGTGAGTGGATATCAGTTTAATAACTACTTCTGTTTAAGTGAAGGATTGGATATTTTATCAGCTCATACTTTAGTTCTTATATTATGCCTTTGTCTTCTTGCTTAAATTTCTGATTTTCACGTGCACTTTCTACAGGCATTGAACTTTCCCTATAAGTATTTCACTTCGGAGCTCACGTATACTGTCTCTCCTGATTACATCTAATTTAAAGGGTGGGGCTGAAGAAAGAGTGTTCACTTGGAACGAACATTTAAGGCAACTAATTGAAAAAAGAAGATTCTCATTTAGTGCATGTTGCAGTGCTTTAATTGACAGAAATGAAGTCTTAATAGCTTTCACCAGCTAAAGATCAGGCCTATTTCTTCTTTATCACATTACATGCTGTTGTCAGCTACTAGATTCAGGGCTATCAATATTGCATAGATTTACACATCTATGCAAGTCTTTTTGCTGACCATATGTTAATTTAATTGATTATTTTCTTTCTGCACCTATTTACCTTGCACGATTAGTAACAGTAGTAAGAATAAAAATACTGTTAAAAATTAAGGTAAAGAATTTGAAAGGTCAGTTCCTGGTGGAACCAACAAGATTGTAGGTAGCACAGAAGAAAGTCAGTGGCAAGACAGAGCACATCTCTTCCAAGTAATGATTGTTGTTCAGCGATGATTTCCATGAACCGTTCTGCTCTGTAACCTGATGCCATGGGAGTTAAAATATAAGTAGTATAAACACAGTATAAGAATTACCCCCCAGATTTTCCAATACTTTGGAGATAATCTGACAGTTCACATGGCACACAGTGTGTCTAGTAGTCAGGGATGCTGCTTAGTGATGGGCAGCTCTGGAGTATCTTACTAATTACAGCACAACCACTTTCCATGGCCCTTTTACTTAAATGGCATTTTTATTTAATTTCAGTCTCTCTCAAGACTAAATTGGATAAGAATTTCTTGCAGAAAACATTTTCTAACCAAGAAAATGTTAACAATTTGATTTTCATCCTTGCTCTGCAACAATTTATAAAATAGAAATAAATATGAAAGGCTGATATGCAATGAAAAATCTAAGGTGAGAGGCTGAGAGAGGGAACCTAATAAATTGGTTCTGTTGTGGAAGAAAACATCATGTCTGGTGTGTGTGTGGCACCAACAGAGGGGTTGTGGTTGTGGTTGTCACCTGCTAATTCATCTCCATTTTGCCCTTTCAAGGAGATTAATGTGGACTCCTAAATGCTGAGTACTCAAATGACTCATTTACTTCTACTCAGAAGCCCAAAAATGAGGCACTTTGGTCTTAGAACTGTGTCCAGAATGTTTTTCCAGGTGCATCATCAGTAATTTCAAGAGTTCTACAGATGCACAGGAGAAAAGCTGGTATACACTAAAGACTTTATTTTTTTTTTTTTTTGTAAATTGTCAAAGATTACATTTGTACCAGTGTTCCTGGCACAACCTCTAGGATTTTAGTAGCAGTTAAGCCTGTTCCTGCTTTTGGGAAATCATTCAGTTGCTAGTAGAACTGATCTAAATACTCATTAGAGGTAACACTCTACAAATTTTGTCCAGCTGGCAAATTGTGAACAAAATTATTGATTTCTTTCATTCAGCTCAACAGATACTAATATCAATAGATACAAATATGAACATATATATCCTAGAAGACATGAATTATTTATAGTGAGTGAAGGTCTGAAAAGCAATTTCCTTTTGGAGACGTATGACTGGCCACATGAGTGACACGGTATTCTCTCATCCCTGATAGCGTTAGCATTTTAATTGCTTATTTAATCTGATGCTAGTCTTGATTTTGATGAAGTCTCAGTGATAGTATCAAGCCCATTCTCACTGAACATTCTCTCCTACAAAGCTTCATTATAGTGAAAGCTTATGAATAGAGAGACATGAGCCAGACATTTCCTGCTATTTGGCCTATTAGCTGATAAATGCTCATTTAGTTTAATCAGCTTTAGAACATGACTGGACTGGAGACTTCAGATCAGCTACATCCTGGTAAATAAATTCAGGTACGAATTTGGTATGAAAGAGACTTCAGTATGAAGTTGCTATTTTTGATTGTTACTGTACTGTATATATCCACTTTATTTTGAAAAATCAAAAAACGACTTCTCCAAATGTATTCATTGCATGCCCTGTTATGTTTAAGCTAAAAAATGAGCCAAGCAGCAGCAAGCAACATCAACAATATTTCTGTTTGCCAAAAAGGCAGTAAACTGCCAAGCCCAAGGACAAGCAAGACAACCATGCAGCTTAGTGAGTGGCTCTGTACTGCTGGATTATGAAGTCCAGACAGTGTTCTTCTACAGAAAGTGACTGTTGAGAACAATAAGGTGATGGGTGGCACTGGAAGGGGTAGTTAAAATTCTACTACTGCCTCTGCTTCCCAAGAAAGAGAAGAAAATGGCTGTATTAATGTTCGTACACAGGTGTGCGGGTTTGCAGTGCTTCAGTAATCTCTGAGCAATGTAGATAAGGAGAGGGCTAACTTAAAACAGATGTTCATGGGAGATTAATGCATATTTGCCTTATTCAACCCAAGCATATCAAATTGGCTCATCTTGTTTTGCTACTGCATCTGTAATGGAAGGTTAACCATGGTGTACAACCAATATGTCCTTCCAGTGACTCCCTTGCACGTGTTGAATGCTGAACTGTGATGTAACTGTGGTGAATTCTGACTGTAGCTATTATGTGCTTCATGGGAACCCTGTCAATAGTGACTCCCTTCTTCTCTTTCCAGTATGTCTGCTCACAGTGCCAAATCACTATCTTAAAGATAAAATACATTATTATTAATTTTCTAAATAAATAAGCAGGTTCTATTCAGACAGTGCTCTCTCTCTGGTAAAAAATAATTTTCATTAAAAATACTGAAGATGTTTACATATTAAAATCTTTTGTTGACAGAATAATTCTCAACCTGGCAGAGTTTTTTAAAAATCATTATAAGATGACATTTTGGGAAAAGCCGCAAACAATTTGAAATCTAGACTAAAAAGAAATGCTACTGATTATATTAAGTGCTGATATTGAGTTTGCTTTTACAAAAAAAGAAGTACTTGATTATGAAGAGTAATTTTGAAAGTATGTGTGCATTTTTGTCCTTTACTGGGGACAAACATCTGGCACCTTATTGATGCTATCAATTAGAAGTTATAAACTGATATAAATGTTGGCCTGAGAGCCCATCTTTCCTAATCAGTGCTCTAGAGTGTGAGTGTGCATTTCTCAGTGAGGTAGGTTTCAGTTCTATGTATATGCGCACTTATTCAACTGAGATAAACCTCTCTAGTTCTATTTCAGAGGCTGCAGCTCAGATTAAATTTGGACCAAGTAATAAATGGCCAACCCTCTCCCTCCGGTAACTTACAACTTTCAATTTCTAGTGTGCAGTTTTGTTCATCCAGAGGATATCTTCGTAGATCCATCATGCAAGCAGCTGTTGTTGTAATCCTATAAGAGGAGGGTGAAAAAAATCAGTTTTGAAACCGCATTTGATTTGTTTGATTAGGTAAATCTTTCTGTAGTGTATTTTTTTTTGGTTTAAATACTGAACGGCGCATGGATAGCTGGTGTACAAAACTGCTTGTGAAGCATGATTAAATAATTTATATAGCACAATACAGAGAATATAGTATAAAGCTTAAAAGCATACACTAAATAGTATAGGATAGTAGGATTTTGACAGAAAACTTTACAAGAAAAAGTGTTGAGTGTTTTAAAGGGCATTTCTTGAGGTTTCTCACTGGACATTTCATTTTTAGTGTTCTTAATTCAAACATCTTCAAATTGGTTTGCACATTTTTATTTATAACGGGTACTGCAATAGTTCCATTTTTCATTCTGCTCTCATGTAATGCTTTCTAAGATTTGTCTGATATGCATGTGCATTTTCCATGGTAGGGAAGCACTGGTAGCATGTGAATCATTGTTTTTATGGTTTCATAATCAGTTTATCAGTATGACAATAGTATATTGCCTCTCAAAATTGTATTATGCAATCAAAATCTTATGGAATGTACATCATCTGTTGGTTACTGAAGAAAATCACTTGCAGGGTGCTTTCAAACTCACAGAAGTGAGTTTGCATCTGCAGTTTCAGGTTTGTCATTTTTTTTTTTTTTTGTGTGTGTGTGTGTGAGAAAAGGGTTCATATGTGCTTATACAACTTCTGAAGTCTGAATGGGCAAACATGGCCTGAAATCTAACTGGCCTCTCACTCCTTCTCATGAAAAGTTCCTTCCTGAGAAAGATCCCTCTTTTCTGGATCTGGATATCGTTCTGTTTCATGGTAATTAGCACCACAACAGCACATCTGGAGATTTTACTTTCAATGTGATGGAAGTCAAGCACACTTACATGCTGCACTGGGATGATAATTTGTGCTGTCACAGAACTGATAGAATAAAAGGGGGGAAAAAAAGCCATGTGTCTCTTTATTTTGACATGCTTCAAATTTCCTAATTCTTCACAATCCATCTGTCTACTTGTGTATGAGAACTGTCTAGCAAGAGCTGTGACAGACAAACCAGCCCATGAAATTACTGCGTAATGCTGTGTAAAGTATGATATTTCTGCTTTTCCACTGAGATTGATTTTTGTCTCAAGTATTGCTCATTGAATTGATTTACATGTTTCTTAATGTCTTTTGCTGAAAACTTCAGAACAGGTAGGACTTCATTTAGTTTAGCCTTGTACAAATGTCTTACTCAGAGACACTGAAAAAGCTGTGCAGTAATGATTTGTCACAACTCTACTTAATAACGCTGAAGATCGTATATAACTAACATTAGTCACAGTTACATGCTTCTGAATTGAGGTTTCATAGAGTCCCAATTAGCAAATCAGCCTTTAAGGTAATTCAGTTCACCTGGATCAGCCAGATTTATTTAAATGTGTACAGAAGTAGACATAATGTTTTCTAGACCACAGGGTTACAGTGGCCAGCTGTTTCTTCATGGCCAGTGTGTCTGTACTTCTGACTTCTGCAGTTTTGAATATCTTACATAAGCAGCAGCAATTTCTTCCTTAATAATATCAAGAATTTTTTGTTGACACAAGGTAATTGTTCAGTAGTAAACGATGGGGAGCAGCTTTCCCTCTCATAACTCTCCCACCCCTAAGCTCTCTGGTCCTGCAACAAGCAGCTGTTTCTATATGAAGAAGGCTTTAGCTGAAGTTTGCAGAGATAATAGCCACATAATGCTAGGTGGCAAGGTCACTTGGGGAACACTGTCAGGCAGTTATGGGAGGGTGACTATCAGATGTGGAAATCTGGTGGAAGCTGGTGACTTCCCATTTCCCCTATAGACCTGCAGCTTTGAACATGGTATGGTGTCCTGGGCACAGGGGATGATGAGTAGCACCCAATCTCAATGTTGAAGCAAATATAATCTATTTGTGCACTGTTTTCTACCCTACTATCTTTAAATCCTTTTGTTTATTCAAAAGACAAATGATAAAATGTAGTTAAACGAAGAAGGTAAGTAGTTCTAACAGGTAAGAGAAATAATATTTATGAGAAGCAAAAAACTTTTTTTTTTTTTTTCAAAATGATTTATTGTATTTCAAATTATCTGATCCACTCTTAGCTTTTTTTGTGTGTGTGTGACTCTATGAATACCATATTCTTACTTATTGTCAAGTTATTCTGGACTAAAATAAAATTGTTTGAAAGAAAAACATTGCTGTCCAGTATTTGCAAAACACACTTTCTTGTGTAATACTGACAGAGGTTTCCCTGCAGGACAGTAAATCTTATAGTAACAAGTGACAAAGCTTAATATTTTTTGATACATCAGCAGCAAGCAGTTTAAGTTCAGAATGAGGGCAGGAAGTGGGGTTATGTTTCAGTACTTCATCAAAATGCTGTCAGAAAGCTATTCTTCAACTCTCAAAGAAGAAAGAGAAGCAATATTTAAGACAGGAAGAACAACTAAATGTGGAGATGATCAGAGCTAAACAATGCAAATTCTGTTGTGAGATGTTTCTTCCCAGTTGGAGAAAAGATATCAAATTTTAATGTTTGTTCTTTTTCTCTCAGTCAACAGAGAATAAATTATAAATATAGATGAGAATATGAACTGAGGTGAACTCTTTTAAGGGGAAGGAAAAAGAAAGCAAACTGAAATTTTCAAATAAAATTAAAAGTAGCCATGCTTCTCTTAACCACTGTGGAGCTGGGGGGTTGTATTACACACTAGAAGTAGATTTTCATATCCTAGGTAATATATTGCTTCTGTGTTAATGTAACTTCAGTAATATCAAGGAACTTAATCCTATAGCAACTTTTTGATATCAGAATTCAGTCCTGTATCACTGGAGTAATTGTCCTATTTGTCTCTTTATATTAGAGATCTAATGGGATGTCTTGTAGGCAGAGTTATTGACAGGGTAGAAGAAGGCATTGTGCATTTAAATATGCAATTTTTTTCTTTGTCCATGCTATGTACAACGTTGTCGTGCCTACTATAAATTTCAAAGCACAGCTTAAGAGATTAGTATCTGTCTGCTTGTCCCAGGGAGAAAATGTCAGCTCTGACCCTGAAAGCATGCCCAGCTTCAAGCGCTGTGAGGAACCTGCTTATGAGAGGAATCCACTTGCAAGAGGTGTATCTGAGCATTAGCAAGGGTTGGTGTTATGTGTTTTATACAATATAGTGTGTACTTGTACATGCTGTGTTCATCAAACTGTATTGCTTGTCTGATCAAATTCTATTAGAAAAAGAACTTACATTTGTTTATAAGTTTAGGATGAGCCAGTGTCTTCAATGATCTCATTAGAAGTTGAGAGAAAAAGGGATGATTGGCTCCTGAGCTGGATTTAGTAAGAGATTTAGGTACTTTGTTTTAGAGATGAGTTGATTAACATTTTTTTTTTCTTTATTGTGAAATGATTATAACTCGGCTTTAAATTTTTTTTTCCTCACAAAAGCAGTAAAAGTATATCTGTGACTCTATGATTCCAGGGAGACAAGCTGTTAACCACAGGATCAGTACTGCAGACTATGTAGTTTGATATGATGCTCAAGTTTATAAGGAGAGCATTTGTATGGATTTAGGTTAGCAAATGCAAAATACACTTTATTTTAATCTTTGCTCACAGAAACAGTAGAAATATTCAGCTCAGAGGGCTAAAACTGTAAGCGGCTGAGACTAGGATCTGGTGTGAGAAGGGTTCAAAACGTTTTATCATATTTGATAGTTTTACTTATGTTTTACAAAGATGAGATCAAGAAAAAATAATTACACTCTTCCAGGTTTAAGTGATATCCTGAACTACTGAGAGTTTGCTTGATTTGCCTCTCCACCATTTGTGTTGTTTTTTTTTTTTTTGTTTGTTTTTGTTTTTTTTTTTAAATAGAAAAATAAAACATTCAAAACAGTTTAAATCTCTCTTAGAAATGGCATGGTGTGCCTTTCCAGGAAAGGTGTGATATTCTTTATCTGTTTATGTACATTTATGTATGTCTGGGTAAATAAACATGTTGTTTATGCTTTGTTTTAAGCAGGGGGATATTTACTGCAGGTAAATAGTAATTAGATCAAAGCTTTCTCCCAAACTTTCATTAGAATTTTGTTGTATTTGCTTTAGGCAGAGCTGCCAAGCCAACCATTGATGCTACAGTGATCAGTCAACCCACAGTGCAGACAGCTTCTGACCTTTCTTGAAATAATTTGTTTTCAATGCAGTAACCTCACATGTCTCCAGAAGTCATCTCTTCCACTGCTTGTGGATAGCGGTGACACGGAGTGACTGGTGGCAGGGACAGACTGTATGCTCTGGACAAGGCTCCCACTACATTTTGATGCTATTGCCTCCTCTGTTCCATGTTTCTTTCCTTCCAGGCTGCCCTGATAGTTGCCCACATCAAGCCTCAAATGAAACACCATTGACTCAGAGTTAGGTAACCTCAAGCATCAATGTAAACAGCAACTGGGGAGATCAATATCTTGAGCTAGTATAGGTACAACCAGAAAAGCTTAAATGATCAAATTCTGCAATGTCTTTCAAGGGCTGAAATATTGTTTTTTTTTGTTTTTTTTTTTTTTTTTTAAACATGAAAATAAGTGAAGTGGTAAAACAAAATATGCTACTGAAAAGAATCAGAAGAATTAACTACTACAGTGCTACGGTCTAGTTCTGCTAGTGCTAGTGCTACTAGCAGTGCAGTAATGTACATGAGAGACACATTCTGACTTTGTTGTTCATCCTTGTGTACCTAGTAGCATTTCTGAGTGAATACACTTGGCAAATGTAGAGGAGGAATGTTTGGTTATCTCTGAGGCATAAATAAAAGTGTCTGTTTCCAGGCAAAAGTTAGGCATGAAAACTCAATCTACAAAGTGCCAAATCAATCAAGAACTGGGCTTGAACTGTTAATGCTAAATAGCAAATAAAAGAGCATTGCAGTCCCTATTATTATTTCTGTTCATGTATGTTCTTTTCCACA